GGAAAGGTGGAATTGTTATAGCTGTATGCTACTTGTATTTAAAGTGAACTCCACAAATGAAACCTCTCTGAGGCTGTAGACAGCAGCTGCAAGTTCGTTAATTGGCTGACTTCGTTGTTACAGTTGTTTATGAAGAGCTGTGATTGCTGACTGATCCGACTCGTTATCAATGTCTTGTTGAAAAATAACCCACATTCGTTGAAATTATTCCAGATTCCAATCTTAAACAAAACTTCCAACAAAGTCCTTGATATGTATTGGTGACGTGACGAATTCCAACGTCGAACTCCATTCGATGTTCCTAGTCATTGTCTCATAGGAAAATTCTCGATTCTCTTCACGCCGATGCTTAGGAATGTAAGCAATCGACGCGTGCAACATCGTAGGCAACAACACAATGTTGTCTTCTCAACAGTTCTTCTGATTTGGTGAAATACGAGATTAATGCGTGCTGAGGTTACTAACGTTAACACATTGCGCTACGTACCTCGGTTTTTTGTGGTTTTATTCGAGCTTGGTGCGATATGCGAGTCTCATACCATGATCTGCAAAATAACTACAGTTGCACGTAGAGCTGATTAACTTTGCACATGCTATTCGCTTCCTTCCCTCCCAATCGCCGCCCACGGTGGTGGTTTTATTTGAACATAGAGGCCAGTGCGACTCTAATATCGTGATCTGTAAAATAACTACAGCTATAAGTACAACCGACTAATTTTGGTTAGGAACACGTCCGTCCAACGTATAGGTGGCCGTCCTAGGAGACGTTTATATTCTCGTGGAGTCCACCCTATTGTTATTTTCGTCCATCTGTCGTCTGTTCTTCCCATTATGTGGCCGGCCCGTCTATGTTTCACTGTCGATGTATATTCTCCTGGATCTTGAAAATGTTGCAGATTTCAAAGGTCAGAGCTTCGAATTCCGACTAGATATTGAGAGTGACGGTTATATTTAAGAAGACATGGTTCAAGGTCTCTGTGAGTAGTGCAAAGCATTCTTGGCGCGGCTGAACTATCAACCCATGTTTCTGTAGCATAACGGAGCGCTGGGAGGACCACAGAATCAAAGAGCTGAGCGCGGATTTTCGGGTCCTTCACTTGGTCGGTGACTTCTTCGAGAGGCCCGAATGCGGCCCAAGCTGCTCTCCTTCTTCCGTCTAATTCCTTCATGTTGCTTTCCATGTTCGCTGATTCCCCAAGATATATGAACGAGACGGTCTCTGCAATCACGGAACCATCCAGTTGGATTTTTTTTCACCTTCGTACCATGCGTTTTTCATGAACTGGATCTTCTTCCAATTTCTACGTAGTCCGCCTTTTTTCCCACTTCGTTGAGCTTGTTGATCACCGCCTCTGCTTCGCTGGTACTTCTTGAGAAGATGACGATGCCATCGGCAAAACGAAGGTTTGATAGGAATTTTCTACTAATACATATGCCTTTCTCATCCCAATCGAGTGACTTCATTGCGCACCGCAGTACGGCAGTAAACAGCTTTGGCGATATTATGTCGCCATGTCTACCCTTTTTCCTATGGGCATGGTTAGAGGTCGATGGAAAAGCTGTATCTTCGCAAAGCGGTTTCGATAGCAATGAGACAGAGTCCTTATGTACGACGGCTCCACTCCTTGGTCGACAAGCGCTCATAGGACTGCATTCGTTTCAACACTGTCAAACGCTTCTTCATAGTCGATAAAGGCTAGGATTAGAGGCGGGTGGTATTCACGATAAACCGCAGTGACACTGGACACAGTTTGGATGTGGTCCAGGTCCATGCAGCAAAATTCCTGCCAAAACCTTGCTCGCTGCACTGCTTGCAACTCATCTATTGTCCATGACATGGTCGACAGATAATCTTCGTGAAGAGTTTCTACAGTACACTCAAGAAGCATATTGAACGATAGCTACGAAAATCCTTTCAACCATACCTCTTGGGCAGGATGACCGCGCATGACTTTCCTCCACTGGTCTGGAGTTTCTTTATTCTGAACGTAGGCAGCCATATGGTTTGCTAAAAGTCCAGTAGGCTGTCATATAGATTACTAAAAGTACATGTGAATTGTGGCTTCCAGCTCTAAGCAAGTTGGCGATGACATTATCTGGTCGTGGAGCTGTGCCGCTTTTCATGCTTTCTGTCGCAACTTGAATCTCTGACGGCAGAATTTCAGGCGAGGTGGTTTTTCCCCAGAAGAGATTTTAGGGTCCGAAACGGGGATTGTGGAGCGAAAAAAATGGTGTAGAACATTTCCGTTATCAATTCATGGTTGAAAGTTTTGGTGATTCCATCTTCGTTCATCAGCGCTGATAGCGTAACAGCGTAGCATTACATGTGCACAAGTCCCGACGTCATTTTTTCAGACTGGTTCTTTTCTCTGCTGCTTCCAGTAGTTTTTTCTGCCTGCACCGATGTAGACCTTCCTCCATAAAGCTCTTCTGTAAGTAGCATTTATTACTAGGCGTGTTAATCGAGTTGCAGTAAGAACAAGCATCAGTTTCCTTCTCTTCTCGAGCAACTCATTAATAATATTAATACTGATCAGTTAGTAGAACGTTATGTGTACAGAGATGAAGTACAAACGATAACTAGTGAAACCGATAATGATGATCATCTCCATTCAGTTATCTCGTATTCATTCTTTAAAATATTACTGTACCACTTACAGTACCGAGATAACTGAGTGTGTAGGCACTAAGTTGTGATTTTTGCGATCAGACTGCTCACGTATGAAGTTCTGTGAAAGACTGCTGCTATTTTCGCAACGTTTTCCAAAATGTGTAAATTTTAGTTATTCCTATTGGGATTACTTTCAACTTCAGTTGAGGCCAAATCAGGGATATTCGATAGTTTGAAAAGTCACATCAGTCTCTCAGCTAGTTCTATCGATCTCTTGCCATCAGCAATCACCCGTCAACAGGATTGATCTGGGGAGCCCAAATCGGTATTGAACCCAGTTGAACTGAGGCTATAGTTATAACCACAATCTTAACCTTTTTATCTACTGCCTATTCTTTTTAACGGCACGGTATTTTGCGAAATATAACTGCAGGTGTCTGCGGTCCGGAGTTATGCAAATATCTCACCATTATAGTAGTTATATATCGTAAAATACTCTGTCGTTAAAAAGAATAGGCAGTAAATAAAAAAGTTAAGTTACATCAGTGTTCAGTCACTCTGTAGAAAACTGAGAGCTCTAAGGATCTTTCGACGCTCTCTAAAAACTCGAGGTTCATCAGTTCATAACGGATGCGCAATGCATTTGACCTCGTTAGGCATTGTTAGAAATGATTCAATGCATATCTGGCCTGTAAAATAAATCACGGTGCCATACCGATGAGTCGAGTCAGTACTGCTATCGTCCTGTACAGATTTGGTATCAATTTGCCAACCGTAGAGGGTTGAAAGGCTCAGTGAGCCTGGGGCGCGGGATCAAACCCAGGCGGACTGCAGCGCACCTCAAACCACTGCACTACACCAGCCCCCGTGACTAAACATACCGTGCTCAAATTCGTGAAATCGCCGTAGAGAAATTTATGCAATTTTGCCGCATTTGACGCTTTTAATGTGGAATGCCCAATTTTCCCAAATGTTTCAATTTGAGATGAAATATAGTTCCCTTACTTTTATGTCGACCAAAGCACAAAGTTATCGAATTCAAGTCACGAGCCTATTTACCCTTCAAAGCGAGGAGTGTTCTAGAAGCTCTTAACACGTGGGCTAGGCAGCCAATCCTTGGCTAAAATATCACTTTAAAAAACGAATTTGAAAAAAAGTTGAAGCTGAAATGGCCTTTTCAAGCACCTTTCCTTCTCGATTCCTCTAGATCTGCTCTTTTTAAGCATCGTTTAATAGCTAAGCTTACCTCATCGCTAATAAGAGGCAACATAAACGTGACTTTTTTTCGACTGTCCTTTTCTTCTTTTGCCTTTCATTAGGGAAATCAATACACCAATGCTAGATAATGCGTGAATTTTTTTTCAACAGGCACTTGTGTTAGGTCACACACAAGAGATGTCCGGGAACATGGGAACATGCACAGAAAAACATGTCGAATACGTAGAAGTTATAAAGACGAAAATTATGTAAGAAAACCGAGTAATAGAATNCTTTCCTTCTCGATTCCTCTAGATCTGCTCTTTTTAAGCATCGTTTAATAGCTAAGCTTACCTCATCGCTAATAAGAGGCAACATAAACGTGACTTTTTTTCTACTGTCCTTTTCTTCTTTTGCCTTTCATTAGGGAAATCAATACACCAATGCTAGATAATGCGTGAATTTTTTTCAACAGGCACTTGTGTTAGGTCACACACAAGAGATGTCCGGGAACATGGGAACATGCACAGAAAAACATGTCGAATACGTAGAAGTTATAAAGACGAAAATTATGTAAGAAAACCGAGTAATAGAATGATAACCTCAAGAAACTGGTATATCATGTCTCTTGTAAGGGCTCACGGACCGTACATCTTGACGTCAAAGCGCATTTCGACTGCGCTCCAATGACACAAGGTGACCTAGCACACGAAAATGGCCGAGGGCGTGAAAAGGATAATAGCATAAAAGTACAGTAACAGACCTTGTGACAACAATAAAGCTGGGCTAAAATAGGTATTTTTAAAAAAAGGTGCCTTCACTTTCTTAAGGGTCACCGAATTTACCAGTTCTCAAATCATTAAGCAATTAGCTTGCAAAGTGAGAATTCGGGACCATTATTCTAAGACATAACCATATTTGTCCTAGATTGTCATGATAATCGATAAGGCATTATCATACGCGATCGANGAAAATGGCCGAGGGCGTGAAAAGGATAATAGCATAAAAGTACAGTAACAGACCTTGTGACAACAATAAAGCTGGGCTAAAATAGGTATTTTAAAGAAAAGGTGCCTTCACTTTTTTAAGGGTCACCGAATTTACCAGTTCTCAAATCATTAAGCAATTAGCTTGCAAAGTGAGAATTCGGGACCATTATTCTAAGACATAACCATATTTGTCCTAGATTGTCATGATAATCGATAAGGCATTATCATACGCGATCGACGTGTTACTCATGAGACCGGATAAATTCGATGACTTTGTGGACAACGAACTTCGCATATTTCTTCTCGACACGCAAAAGGTCTGTTCATTTGAAAAATGGAAGTTAATAAATGTCCATAGGTTACTAATATTCGCTTGTGAAAAGCACAGAACATCGATTTATCAGTACTTGGGCCGGATGTAACGATGTGATGGATTCTTTCTTATTTTGTCAAGGTAGGAGTTCCTCGTAGTTTCCGGTTCCACTATTCTCATTGCTCACGGCATCCACTGGAAGTAGAATTTTTCAGCAGTTCATTCACTAGAACGCTATTTACTGAAAGAAAAAGTTCTCTAGGCGAAGCGTATTCTGCTCGATGTGATGCTTCTTCATCCTGAGTATGTACCACGAACATGGGGCGGTGATGTTTTGACAAAAGGTCAAAGTGAAGCACGACTGGAGGCAATGGGGAAAAGACAACCTACCCAAGTTTCCGACAGCAAAACAAATGTGGAGAAGGTAGGAATCCCATGAAGTTCTATTGATTCCAGTGTATATGACGGCGACTTACAAATCAAAGAAAGATTGCACCTTGCAAAGAGATCTCGATTGAGTTCAACACGCATCAGCGGAAAAAAATTAGTGCGGTATGAAAAGTATATACCAAAGAGCAGTTTTGACGAAAAGGCAAAACTGAAAGGTACTAGGACTGTGGACGATAGGAGTGCTAACCCTCTTATGGAAATGGGAATGCTCTGAGTGAGTAAACTGTGATTAAGAACGTGTTAAAACCGGTGCTTAAAAGAACATGATGAATTAAGGAAAAGCCTCGACAGAATCTGGCGGCTCCGAGTGGCAAGTCGTTCGCGAGAACACCAGCCGAATCCAGAGGTGTCCAACTAAAGTCAATTAGAATGGCGCCGAGTGTAATGAAAACTGGCCAGACTCCAGCACCAAAGTCCAGTCCAGAAACAAGTGTAAGCGTTTTTTTAATTGTTTGTAACGAA